ATTTTGTCGGTATAAATGTCTAGCCGCATTACATTACATTATTGGCATTTAGCAGACACTCTCATCCAGAGCAACTTACATTGGTTGCTTATATTTAGGTTTATTTATACAGCTGGATGTTTACTGAGGCAATTGTGGGTTAAGTACCTTGCCCAAGGGTACAGCAGCAGTGCCCTGGCGGGGAATCAAACCAGCAACCTTTCGGTTACAAGTCTTGCTTCTTACCACTGCACTACACTGCTGCCCCATCACATAACCAGTTACGTTACCTTCCTTTCAAAAGGCAGCCACATGTTTCCTCACAGTTGATGAATCACTACGATTATGGCCAGGCGAGAGGGATCGCCACACCGGTAAACTCGCTGGACTGTTCCCGTCAGGGCAGACATATCGATCACAGCGTGCGAGTGTCAACTGCGCCTGGTCACGGGAGTAAAGATCACAGCGATCTGTGGTGCACCAATTCTCAGCAGGACGCACACCTGAACTCCCTTCAGAAAGTTTCCCTCCCATCGACGAATCCATTTTTCGTTTTCGATTGTGTGGGAACTCTTTTCGGTGAAGAAAATGACTTCAGCTTGCCTCTAACTAATAACAGATGCTAAGTCTGAGCCTGGCTCACTCCAAGGCCCACTAGGTCAGATTTATCTTGATCTGCGTTAGCGCAGCAGCGTCACTTGTCATATCTAATGCTTACTGCTAAGCAGAAAGGCTGCTTTTTCCTGCTATGATTCAAATGTGGGCAGAACCGACAGCTCTGTGATGACATGACTGACATTCTGAAACAGCAGACCACTGAACTTGAACTTTCATAGAATGCAGCAGAGGTCATCCCAGTCCAGCAGGAAGTTTATAGTGCAAATCAGGCATTTTGTGGCAAAATCTGTTCACCTGTATGTACTTGACTTCCCCATAGTTTTCTAGAATGTCTAGGCTCAGTTTAGCCCAAGTTAATGTGTGGTATTGCTTGAATGGTGTTGTGCTCACACACTGGCGTGGCAGTGTCTTTAGCCTGGTCGGACAATGTTGCTCATTCAACTCAGATGAATACACCTCTAATGGATACCACCCTGTGTGGTGGAAGTTGCTCTGGAAGTCTGCTAAATTAATGTAATGTCATGCAATGCAATGTCAGTATTGGGTGTTCACGGCATAAGCCAAGCAGGAAGCAGTCCGTGTGTGAGATGCGTTTCCTGTAGCCCTTGCGGAATTACACGCTTCACCTCCGGCGGATCGTTTTCCGAAATGACAGCCGCACCTGCGTCCCCTCGCATGGCGCAGACCGTGTTAGCTGGCCCGGATGTGACAGATGCATTGACATGTGGCCTCGTTCCTCCTGACGGCCCGTAGCGTTTCACATTTCCACCCCACCTGAGCCCCTTCTGCCACCGTGGAGGCGTGCCGACCCGCCAAACGCGTGCCTCTCTCTCTCTTGTCTGGCTCCTCCCCGGGTGCCAGGGATCGTTACCGAGGGCTGTCAGGGGGGCGTGTCACGGTGGCTGGGGCTGCCGCGGTCGGCACGGTGACACACTTTGCGTGGTGGGATCGATACGGCATGACACGCGAGAGGAAGAGCTCGTGCAGCAGTGCACGCACACACACAGATGCACATGCATTGTCAAACACACACACACACACAGAGGCAGTCCCGTACACACTCAAGCACACATATGCTCTCAAACACACAGGCACATACACACACAGAGGCGCTCACACACTCAAACACACACAGACACAGACACACACACAGACACACACACACACACACACACATGCATACAGAGGCACTCGCACATACAGTCAAACACACACACGCACACAAAGTAATATGTGTACATGAATTTGTACACAAAAATACAATCACTTCCATAGCAAGAGGTAACCAGATACTGAGGGAGTAAAAACAGTGATTGCTAAAACTGTAGGATTATATTTTGTCTCGAGTTGCTGTGTTGTAGTAAAACATGTTGTGGCTGTGCCACTTTAACATAAAAGTCATTAATAGATTCATGTTTACTAAATGTATTCTTGGAATCCACTGTATGAACATATCACTGTGTTGTTCATTAGTAGGAGGAAATATGTATATGTATTGTATGATAATATATAGTATTTTTTTCCTGATGTCTTTCAGGAATTCTTTGTATGTTTGCTTATTTGACTGCAGATGCTCATTCCAATATTCATCCATTTGTATATGTTTTTAACAACCAAAGAAAGTTTAAGGTCAGAGTTTTTCTTCCATTTATAGATCTGGGATCCCCTGACTCCCATATGATTTCAGCTAATCATAGGCAGCCCTGAATTTCTTCTGTCTTCACTTTAATGAGTGTGTGTCCTTTTCTCTAGCATAGGGAGTCATTGAAGAAAGGCTTAATGATGGAATCCAAGCTACAGTATGCTAGTGCTCTGGCATCCCCTGCTTCTCTTTAAGACAAACACACCACTCTGAATGTACTGACATGACCTCAGTACTGAAGCTCTGCAGGCAAATAAGCATGCTTCCCAACAGTCATGAGTGTATAGTATACCTGTGTTCATCCATAGCATGCTTTGGTTATGTGAGATGCACTGCATCAGATGCACTGTGCATCTCCTCTCATTTCCTTCATTAAGTTTGAGACATTTATCTGGCAACCAGTGGTGGTGGAGGAAGCTTGACAAATCATGGAGGAATTTGATTGGACGATGCAGCACTTCCCTTAAATGTCTTTGTGTCTGTTTATTATCTGAATTTGTGTAATTCTGCAACAATCCCAAGGTGACATTTCCATTAGCTCTTCAATAAGGCATTATGGCACAAGAACCAGGGGTATACCATGATATTATTGTAATATCACTAGACTAGCTGATGTTGTTAGGCACAGTTGAATTGTCTTGAGTGGGGTCTACTGCATTAAGTAGAATGGACCATGTTGCATTGCTCTATGCTTCGCTCAAGACCAATATATTTGTGTGTCATTCATTTTATGTCAGGAGTGAGCTGTTCAGCTCTCCAGTTCATTCAATTTGACAGGTACTCTGTTTGATGTGTTTGCTGGAAAATGCTTGTCCATGCACCGAACCGTACAGCATGCTTTTTATGGAAAGTGGTCAAGGAAGGGGCTTTGGGACCCTAAAGCATGATGCTAGATACCTGTGCAGTGATGTGGTGCATGGTCCCAGAAAGCATGATCTACAGCAGAAAGGAGTCGTCCGTAGCGACAGTGACACGGCAGACGGCATGTAGTGTTTTTACTGTCGCACCGTGCTGGCGGAAAGCCATCATTTGATCCCACCTCTTGAACACTGCGTTTTCAGCATAATGCTCAAGGCCAGCTTCACTCTGAGAGCTCAGGCTGAAAGGGGAAAGGTCAGGGTGGCAGTTTAGCACAGTGGAAAGGTGCAGGGCTCATAATGAAAAGGTTTCTGGTTTGATCCCCTTCTGGGGCACTACTGTTGTACCCTTGGAAAAGGTACATAACCCACAATTTCCTCAGTAAATACCCAGCTGTATAAATGGATAAAACTGCAACCTATGTAAGCGCCTCTGCTAAATGACAATAATGTAATATAATGATCTTAGCAGTGAAAGCATTTACTATTCAACTGAGCTAAAATAACGTGCAACTGTTATGAGGACCCTGCCAATCAGGGCCGACTGTCCAAAAGCCCCTCCTCTCCCCCCCTCCCCATGCATACTGATGGTGCCCGTGCCATAAGGCGCACCTTATGTGCGGAAGGCACAATTAGCAGAAATTAGGCTGAATCATGATGCAGCGCGGAGCAGTGACACTGTCAGGAACAATGTCTGAGCCTGTAACCATGCTTCCTCTTGCATTCCCTGAGGAGGTCTGCATTTCCCTTTCTGCTGGGCCGGTTTGGTCCATGAAAAATGCTGAAGGCTGTCGAAACTTAATGACACACTTGTCTTCACCTCACGAATATCAGCAGGAACAAAACATAAAAAAAATGTTGTGGTGTCTGTGACTGCAGTCTTGCATTGTGTTTAGTACGCCTTCTCTGGTTAGGGATTTAGATTCAAGGTAGTTTCAAATCTCAGGTAAGACCGTGCTGGTGTATCCTTGAACAATGGGCTTAACCTGCACTGGTTACATACATATTCAGCTATATAACAGGTAAAATGTGGGTCACTCAGAAAATCACAAATGACGAGTTCAGAGAGCTCAGCTCTCTGTGTTATAGTAAGAGTATGAGCCTAGGTGCAGTAGGTCATTATAGTGTGGTTTTATTACAGATGCTAATCCTTTTGTTTGTTCCGTCTGACTACCCTGCGGGCAGGACTCCCCGCCCATCCGATGTCCATCTCCAGCTTTTGACTACATTGTGAGTGAGAAAGAGTCTCCATTGATTCCGTCCGCTGTGGCTCCTGGCGTATTAGCGGGCTGATGTAATTACGCAACCCTAATTTCGGTCTGCGGGAGGCGTCGCTCTAGCGATCCTCCCGCCTCCCGACCTCGGGTTACCACGGAGATCATCCCGGCGCTCCGGGCTGCGGCGTGTCCCTCGCCGCTCCCGTTGAGTCATGCCTTGGCAAAGCCTCTTCGCTCTCAAAAATAGACGCAGGATAACTTTTGAGAGAGCCGGGATATGCTTATCGATCCCCTTTCATATTTATAGTTATGGTGGAAACACAGCTGCAGCAATGGCTGAATCTCAGCAAGCAAAGCCGCTGCCGAAATACGGCGATAAACTGCGGCGGGAAGTAGATTTTGCATACGTGCAGCAATGAGCGTTTGTCCTTTAGGTAGCTGACGCAAGCGTCGTGAAACCAAAACGCAGCCTGGATGTAGAATACAAATGCATTCACTAGACACTGCACAGCATCATCAGACAGAACAAGGCACAGCTGCCACTCTACAATACTGTACAGACAAAAAATGCAATACATTATTGTCATTTAGTGGACACTCTTATGCAGAGCAACTTACACATTAACTTAATGCATTATCCATTTATATAGCTGGATATTTACTGAGACAATTGTGGGTTAAATAATTTGCCCAAGCAGGGAATCAAACTGGCAACCTTTTGGTTTCGAGCCCAGCGCCTTACCACTACGCCACACTGCCGCCCGTTAATAAATGCCTTTGTTACATACAAGGCTCAAAGCACTGTCTAACCAGTTTTTATTTTTCCCAGAATCATATCAGAGTGCAAACCGCTATGTAGTGTCGACTTAAAAAACTTGGGAGGCCATTTGTTTCCTTTTTTGAAAATTAACTGATTTATTCAATTTCTCATTCTTGTTTTCTTATAATTTTCTCAGACGTTTCCTCAAGCAACTGTTGCTCCATATATTACCAAAAAAAACCTCTTCTTTCCAATTTGTGTACACAATGTTACTTTTTGGACTGACTAATGGAGCACAGAAAATGAAAGGCACGAGCTGGTGAATCAATCACAGATAACACCTACCAGATAATTCTACAAACAAATACAAATATAACAAAGATCAAACAACACTAAAAATGCAATACATATATATATATATATATATATATATATATATATATATATTTTGGCTCTTACACGCTACCTTGCACGTCTCTGTGTTCCGCTCTTGAACACACTGAGCTGGGAGGTTCTCATTTTTCCGTTTATCCGTCACAGGCAGTTTCAGGCTAGGCTGTATGCGGAGGGATTTCTATAAAACAGTCACTTCAGCAGATATCCCAGAGGCAACATTCTAGCGAGAGGGCTCTGAGTAAGGAAGGAGCGTAACTGTAATAGAGGGATATATCCTCACTGCACGCTAGGCCCTCTCCACAGTCTCCCTCAGTGTCTGCAGGTGTAACGTCACGCCATGCAGAATGCAATTTTAAGGCCTGGTGGGCGTGTCTGCCTGTGTCTGGCGTCAGGGAAACGCGTCCTCTCCACCCACACGGGTGACACCCCTTCTGCACCTTGCTCCGGAACATAGGCATTCTGTCTATAATTGCAATCAGCCGTTTAAGTTAATGCAGGTCATTGAGTGTGATTATGTGATTAGGCAGTGTGTGTGTGGCAGTGGGCGGCAGTGTAGCATAGTGGTAAGGAGCAGGACTCATAAACGAAAGGTTGCTGGCTTGATTCCCCCCCCGGGGCACTGCTGTTGTACCTCTGGTCAAAGTACTTAACCCAGAATTGCCTTAGTAAATATCCACCTGTATAAATGGGTAACATGTAAAAAATTATAACCTATGTAAGTCACTTTGGATAAGGGTGTCTGCTAAATGTCAGTAACGTAACATAATGTAGGCAGCTAGGTGCTCACATCTGGCACCCTAGATCCACACCTTTGTCATGGGGAGACACCATCTTTCACGCCGTGTACCGCACCTCACCGACGCCAGGGACGTTGCCACACAGGAAACCGCGGCCTGACACCAGGCTAACAGAGCTGGTTGACCACAGTAACGAGGTAGCATATATATATATCGATATGCTAGGATGCTTTTAGTGTCTTTTACTTAGATGTTACATGGGCAAGAGGTGCTTGCTGCTGTGCAGTATTATACTGATTGTTCTTACTGCATGTCACGCTGTCTCCTCAGCAGGAATACGTCCCCCAGGAGAGAAATGTCATTTATTTTCCCATCGTTGTCATTACTGTGTTACCACCCGCCATTGTCTGGAAACAACCTCAGTATAATTTGGAAAGTCCTGCTATTCATCCCGGGCCATTATCTTTCCCCACCAGCAGAGCCCGGAGGGAGAGAGAGAGAGCGAGCCTCCCTCAGTACCGTCTGACCTTTACGGGAGGCATTGGCAGGGGCGACTAATCGCTCTCCGAGTCACGCAGTCCTCCCCCTGACTTTAGGACCCACGCTCAGCAGGACCCCTGTCAAGTGATCGGCGTGGAGCGGTGGAGAGGGGGACTTGGGGGGGTCAGGAGACTCGGCCTGGGACGTTGCCGCAGGGACGTGGTATTGACAGGGTGGTCGGGGGGCGTGTCCGCGGCCCGTGGTGATGTCAGGACGCCTCGAGGCCACCCCGGCTGTGGCGGAGGTGCAGCGGAGGCGTGTCACATGTTTCACACCGGGGACGTCGTGGGCGGCTGCCGCATCCTCAGCTCCGCGCGGCGAAATAGAGCCACACGCTGCACAGGCAGATGGGAAACACAAGTCCCATTTCACATTAAGCGGCAGTCCGTGAGGCTTTGCCCATGTCAAAACTTTGACACCCTGGTACAAAAGCAATACAGAGTAAGGGCAAAAGAAATAAAGCTTTTGTGAAAATAAAAGGTACCTCAGTTTCCTCTGGGGAGCAAACCCCTGGGAGCATTTTCGACCGAACGTACCAAGCATTTATAATTAGCCATTAACTGAATGTGTTGTTTGAGCTTTCCTTTGGGATAATGTTCAAATGTTTGCTGACTTTTTCCACCTAAAATTCACTCTGAGCTCAGTTTAGATGTTCCTTTTAAATAGAAATTGTTGGGTGAGCTAATGATAGTTTTGCTTTAATGGAAGAAGTGAAGTAAGGTTTGAAATCAAAGGAAGAATCTTTTTTCTTCAAAGACTCGGTGCAGCTGTGGAGAGGAGGTCCGCTAATGCATGGTGTAGTATCAGTCCTGGCTAATGAATGCTCATCAGGAGCAGTATCTCTGGGCTCATCTCAGGCTCACTGTATCACGACAGATTAAAACACTAATTATCATTTTGCGCCTGAGTGCCTCTCTCTTGCAAAATCACAAAAGGGATGACTGTTTATGAAAGTGGATTTAAAAAATGAATGGAATGGAATAGATGATGGAATGTTCCATTCCATGGATAATGGAATATTCCATTTGTGGTGTCCTGGGTTCGTTTTTTTTCTTGTCTTGTGAAGTAGGTGTCTGATTGAGATGCTCAAGAAGCAGTGATGTATCAGCACTTCGAAAGCTGCTCTTTGTGTGTGTATGTGTGTGCATATATATGTGTGTGTGTGTGTGTGTGTGTGCGCACAGGCATACATGTGTGAGTTTTTGTGTGTGTGTGTTTATGTGTTTGCATGTATGTGTGTGCGTGTGTGTGTGTGAGTACATGGAACTGACATCACCCTCGCTCTGGGCTGTGTGGCACTTCACCTTTCCAAATGTCAGGGGACAGGATGTTTGTCATCTGAATGCGTGTCCCTAGGAAAGGAGTGGTGGGTTGCCTTGGGAGGCAAGTGCCGCTTTCAGAGGACATTTTGCCATCTCTGTGCCCGTACTAGGGCTCGTTCCATCACCGCGGCCTCACTGAATAGGGCCAACCTTCCATAGGAGGCGAGAATAGAAATTCTATTGAACCCCGGAGTTTGGAATGCACTCTGCGTTTCCTCCGCTCCGAGACAAATGGACACGGAAGACTGAGGCTTTTGTCACCGGAATTCAATTTTAAAAAATCCTGTGGCAACAAAAACACTAACTTTGAGTGTGAGGTAATTTCCAGCGCAGCAAGGGAGCCAACGAGATTCATCTTGATAAGAGAGCATTTGTTCCAGAGAGCTGACACAGGCTGGTTATAGACACACTGCAATATCACGCCGAGTTGGACTGGGTACAGATGAGGGAACAGGGAGACACTCATCACCACACAGGCTGCATCCTGCTACATCAATCAGATACAGGTTTGCACGCACAGACACGGGAGAGAGAGAAGAGGGGAGACTATGTGTGCGTGAGTGAGCAAGAAAATTTTGTGTGTGTGTGTGTGTGTGAGAGAGAGAGAGAAAGAGAGTGTGTGAGAGTTTGTGTGTGAGAGAGAGACAGAGAGAATGCATGAGAGAGTGTGTGTGTATGTGTGAGATTGAAAGAGAGTATGAGAGTGTGTGTGCTGGCATGTGTGAGAGAGAGAGAGTGAAAGAGTGTGTGTGTGCTTGTGTGACAGCAAAAGAGAAAGAGTGTGATTGTGTCTGCGTGAGAGAGAGTGAGTGAGAGAGAAAGCGAGCATGAGAGTTTGTGTGTGTGTGTGTGTGTGTGTGTGTGTGTGTGTGTGTGTGTGTGTGTGTGTGTGTGTGTGTGTGTGTGTGAGATTAACATTTTAAAACCACTCAAGCCATCGCCAAATTATCAGGAGTCAGAACAGCTGAGAAGCTGTTGACAAAAGCGAATGCTGTTTCTTTGTACACCCTCCAAGTTGGCTGATTGTAATGGATCAGGCTTTCCACAGGCAAGGAGACATTGAGGTTAAACTCAGAGGCCAAACAGGAAGTGGAACAGGCTGAAGAATTCTGTTTTTAAAGCAGTTCCATCCTCAGCACTGAAAGATAAGGAACAACCAGAGCCACTTATTCTCATATGTGCTTTTCTTCCTCAGAGGATCATTGAGGTGTTGTCATAAAAGGTGACATGTTGATGAGGTCATAGTCATAACCACTACAGGCTGATGCTCCTGTATTTCCTCTCTTGTTGACTTTACGTTACATTATTCTCATTTAGCAGACGCTCTTATCCAGAGTGACTTACACAGTGGTGTGTTATCCATTTATACAGCTGGATATTTACTGAAGCAACTGTGAGTTAAGTACCTTCCCCAAGGGTACAGCGGCAGTGCCCCACCAAGGAGTCGAACCAGCAACCTTTCAGTTACGAGCCCTGATCCTTACGTCAATGCTACACTGCTGCCTTGTCATCTTCCTCCACCCAGAAGAATACTGTGTTACATAAATGACAACATATTGTAGACATGAGAAGCAGAGGCACGCTATATGCATACACACACATATACACATACATCCCAGCTGATAGAGAAACCCTGGGGAGCAATTTCCTCTCTGTCGCAGATCTTTCGTTTTGCAATCCTTGGAGAGCCCCACTCTCCTTGCACATGGTGCTTCAGTTGATTTGCTTCAGCAGATATCCAGGTGCGTAAGTGAGCAATATGTCGGCTAGGCGCTAAAGCCGCTACAGCCAAGGGGCTCCGCCGGGCGCGCAGCTGATGTAATAAGGTATGAAATGTAGAACCCTGCACGTGTACATGGAGCATTTTCACAGTGCGCTGTTGATCAGAGCTTCATTTTATTCCGGTTCAGCAGCGTAAGTAATTGCCCCCGCTGCATTCTGACGGAGCCCGTTTCTGCTGAGTTATCGGCTGGTTGACGAGGTGCTCGTGACGACGGGGGTGCA